GATGAATACGAACACTCATACCAAGTTTTGTCAAAATCTGTCAAGAATTGTGCCTTCTAGAGTGTTTACGAGCTAAAAATTGAACGCGTTTGCAAGAACAAGGGCAATAATTCATACTAAATATTTTTCGATTTCGCTGATTTTCAATAGGGTTTATCCTTGGGTGATTACAAACACTCATACCAAGTTTCGTCAAAATCTGTCAAGAATTGTGCCTTCTAGAGTGTTTACGAGCTAAAAATTAACAAGGGCAATAATTCATGCTAAATATTTTTCGATTTCGCTGATTTTCAATAGGGTTTATCCTTGGGTGATTGCGAACACACATACTAAGTTTCGTTAAAATCCGTCAAGAATTGTGCCCTGTAGAGTGTTTACGAGCAATTGTGGACGGACGGACGGACGGACGGACGGACGGACCGACGGACCGACGGACATGGGTGACGACAATATACGCCCCCCATTTCATGTGGGCGTATAAAAATCCAGAAATCAAACATTATATGATATTAATAATCCTAACAGTATAAGAGTTTGAAAATATTTAAATTGTTCTTATTAATAACGCTGTAAATAATACTTGAAAACATTTCTAAAAACGCTCTTTGCATCTTACTGAATTGTTTAAAGAGACACCATTATAAAATGGAATGTATTCATTGTTAAGTAAGTCTTTCTCATCAATTTGAGTTTTATTTTGCTTAATTTTGTACATCAGTTTAAAAACAACAACCTAAACCATATTGAGTTTAATAAGTTTACGTAAACGTTATAACCAGTTCTGACGTTCTACAGACTAAGTACATACAATACCGTAATGAAATGAAATGAATGGACTTTTAAGTCAGACTTTTCTGCACCGTGTGGGATAATGAAAACGGACAACGCCGTGCTGGGTGCAATGGGGGGAATTTTACCAAGACAGCGGCATTAGCCTTCTCTTTTTCGATTTGCAACTGTCGAGGGATCTTTAACGTGCAAAGCCTGTAGCACAAGGGGCCTCGGTGTTTTGTCCCATCCTCTGAAATTGTAACCGACCGACACAAAGTGATGCCAATAGCTGAAGTAGTAAATATACATAGCCTTATAATGTACAAGTAAAAAAATATACAGTATTTCTCAAAAATATTGTTCACCGCAGGCTATATTATATACAATATGTAAACGTAATTTAAAAGCTCTTTTGCGAGTAATAAAGACAATACTGTAACGAGGTTTTTATCTATTTTGTGAAACGGTTAATTAAACAAAGCAAATAATTAAACAAGAAGATTATTATTTTCTTAACTATCAATTTTCACTAAAAATATTTATCTTTTTCTCATTTCAGAATATTTCTGAAGATAATAGGGCTTTATGTTCTGTGTATAGCTCTACATGTTATACCAGTGCAAACACGGGGTAAATATGAATTTGAATGATCCGCTATCTCTCAATATCGCTACTCAATCCTTGAAATTGTGCCGCTTTTGTTTAAAAATTTCAAAAGTGGTCTGCCTTTAACACTTAGCAATTCAATTTTTCTTTGATTTGCCCGCGATAATAAGCTATAATCTTATAGTACTGATAGTTTCTTTAACTTTTTCTTTTTTTAAAGATACCTTGTGGCAAAAGACAACTTTCAATTCCAATAATGTGCATGACGGTTTTAAAGCTTTAGATGAGAAGCAATTTAACGAAGGATCCTTGTCTGTTGCAAATGATCCGACTGGTGGCTCCCGTGACGTTGTCAAGGTATTTATAAAGAAAGGCAGCTATGTAAAAATCAAGGACAAAAGAGGAGCTCAGTTCTATACTGATGTTGGCTCAAAAGACACCATGACTCTCTCTTACCAAGTATATTTCCAGACAGGGATGGACTTCGTAAGAGGTGGAAAGCTACCTGGGCTGTATGGAGGTGATCCTGGGTGTTCTGGAGGAAGACAGTCTGTTAACTGTCTGTCCACTAGATTTATGTGGAGAAGTAATGGCGACGGTGAAGTTTATGCTTATATACCGCGGAACCAAGATGCCAACTTTTGTAACAGTAACGATGTGTATTGCAATCCTGATTATGGTACTTCCATTGGTAGAGGATCTTGGAGGTTTAGAACTGGACGATGGGAGAGAATTGTACAACGAATAAAACTAAATAGACCGGGAAAGAAGAACGGACGCATTCTCGTGTGGTTCAATGGCAAAAAAGTTGTTGACAAACGAAACGTCATCTTGAGAGAGAATAGTAGTGTTAAGCTAAGAGGTCTCTTCTTTTCAGTTTTTTTCGGCGGAAGTTCTTCATCATGGGCAACAACTGCAGATTCCAGTATCTATTTCCGCAATTTTAGAATTACAACATGATATCATTTAGTTTGCAAAGTCATTGAATTTGTCAAATATTGTAAAATGTATTGACAGTGAAAATAAATAGTTTCTTATTGCAATTTTCTGTTCAACCACTAACATGACGTATGGCTTTACAGTCTAGCAATCTATTCCGCAACAGCTCACATTTCATGATCATCGGTTTTACCCAAGAGTTCCATCCCATTTAGTCAACCAAAACTTTACGAACAATCTGGAGCTAGTTTAGAGGCTTCCTGGCAAGGCGGGTTTCCTTTAGTGAAGTAGTTCGAAAAGTACCGTATTAAGAATCGAGGAGCTCCAAAGACAGGATTTGATTACTTGATAAGAATCAAACGTTGTCGACTTGTGTTTACACCACAATCGAGCTCTTTTTGAAGGCCGGCACTTTCAAATATATTTTTCTTTAATTATGCACGTATATAACAATTAGATGTACATGTATACACGTATATGCGATTTAGACGTATGTTTAGATGTTTTCAGCTGAATTAATCGGGTCCCGCCACTTTCGTACAGGAAAAGAAATTGTATATATCGCATCTGTGCATAACCTTATTGCTGAATTATAGAATGTAAACAGCTGTCTGACTTGATAAGAAATATTAAAGACTACTAATACGTTGTCAATGGCCTAATTTCTTATACGGGCGTCAACATCATGAAGCGGTAAGAACTTTCATTTTTTACACTTAATATATTATAACTATATTGCATAGTTATTTGAAGAGCTAAAACTAATTAAGGCAATCCAAGAAGTTGACTTGGCATCGGCCTTTAGTTGGGATATGATACAAAACACGGGTCTCTGAGATTTGTTCTACAGTCTGTGTACGCAATAGATACCTCGACAGCATTTTGGAACCAAGGTGGTTCGCTGCATAGTGTTGCTAGAATTTATAGTTTTAAGTTTTGCATCCTTTGTCTGTTCCAGTTCCCTCTTTCTTACCACTTGCCTTGCTCTATGGCTTACGGTTATTGGTCTCGAAATACCAATAACCAAATATTGGAAAGGTGGTTTTAAAGCCGAGTTTTGTGATCCTGTGACTAAAGAGTTGAAGAATTGGAAAGGGCACTTAGTATTTAATCACCACATCGACAAGCTAGTGGTAAGGTAAAGTTTTTATTTCGGTGACTTATCTGTTAACTGCACCCAAGTATTTAGGCATAGATTTGTGTTATTATATAATCAGTTATTATTATGTAATCAATATACTGCTTTGCATTGTTGCATTTTATCTGATAACTACTAGGTTTTGCTGGTAAAACTACACTTACCGACACACGTTTCTTGATGTGTAAGTTCATATTTGCATATAGATCCAGTGGCTATTCTACTGGGAGTCAGCCCTCGTCCCAGAAAAATAACTGGCTCTACTTTGACGTCCTTTTTAGCTGAAGTTTTTCATTATTTACATTTAATTCATAAATGCACGATGGTGTGAGCGTTACTTGAAATTCTATGTCCTCTACTCGGCTCCTCCACCAAATGATTCATAGAAACGTCACTGGATAGATCCACCGCAGTAGAGAGCGTTTCACTTAGTTGCATTAATTTTTTTTACCATTGTGTTAACTTGGTAATTGTCCTAACAGAAGACGTTTTATTTGGCAAAGTACATGAATGGCTCAGGTCTTGGTGTGTCATTTTCCATGAGACGTAAAGATTCCCTTTAGCATTGGCAATGTTTTGGTGTGACGGTTCAAAATTTCTCGCCTTTAAATCAGCTAATTCGTATTTCAGGTTTACAAAGCAGAATTACAACACGATCTTGGACATGGTAAGGAGTTTATTCTTGTACCATCAAAGGACCATTTTGTTCAACACACTGGTGATAAGATCTGTTTACATTTCATAGCCACAGTTAATGACCTAAGTATTCTACCCAAAGTATCGTTCTTCATAGAAGGAATGGATGCAACTGATTCTCATGGTTTTGTTACTCCAACTCCAGATCCTTCAGGTAATGGTCAAGTTATCTCATGGAATTCTTCCCTATAACGACTGGATATAGTCCCCCCAGTGTGACTTTTCCCAAATGCACAGACAGGCCTCGAATCAATTGTAGAATTTGATCTATTTATTATTCGTTGGACCTAGAATTAAATAAAACAAAAAACAATTAAATAAATTCTACCTTTAATATTATATATCCTAAATCTTCTTTCGACTATGATATATATATTTCAAACTAGATCATGTTAATTTGCGCACAATTTTACTTCAATTGTCCTTTCAGGTATTCTGTGGAAAAAGAACGACTTTAACGCCCAGAAGCCCTTGGATGGATTCTACAGGTTACCAAAAGGTCATTTTGATGAAGATTCGTTATCAATCGTTAAAGATCCAGCAGGTGGCAAAGGCAATGTGATGAAGATCTTCATTGAGAAAGGTCACTACGTTAAGATACACAGTCACCGTGGAGCTCAATTTTATACCAGTACCGTCACTCCTAGAGATTCCATGACACTTAGCTACGATGTATATTTCCAGAAAGGTATGGATTATGTCATCGGAGGTAAATTACCAGGTATGTATGGCGGAGCCACAAATTGTACTGGTGGACGTCACTCTGATGCCTGTTTGACCACCAGATTTATGTGGAGACAAGCTGGAGAAGGAGAACTTTATGCCTACATGCCACCACCAAAAGATCAAGTGAAAAATTTCTGTAACAGCAATAATATTATTTGCGACCCAGTTTATGGTATATCTGTTGGCAATGGAACATGGTCCTTTAAGACTGGACGATGGGAAAATATCGCACAACATATACATCTCAACAAACCCGGTCATAAAGACGGTTACGCTATCATCTGGTATAATGGAAAGAAGGTTTACGAAATTCGCAACGTCAACTTCCGTAATCACGACAACATCAAAATGAAGGGACTTTTCTTTTCGGTGTTCTTTGGTGGTGGTGAACCGATGTGGGCCCCAACAGGCGATTCAAATATTTACTTTAAAAATTTCATCGTATCTTCTAAAGAAAGCCACCCAGCACATCTAGTTGGTTGATAGTAGGATTTGAAATAAAAGTTTGTGAAAAGCGCTTGGGGTTATTTTACTTAATATGAATATGAACAGAAAAGAACTGAACTGTCCGGGTTAACATTTAAAACGATCCAAAAATGGCAAAAGTGGCGTTTTTTTATACAGTTTGTTTAAGTTTTGTCCAATGTAGATCATTAGAGTAATGTTCGATCAGAATGTTTACAAGGGTTAATTTAAAATATTCAAAATTTCAGTCTGTCATACAACTGTTTCAATGATTGAATGTCATGAAGGCAAAATTTTAATGTTCCAAGAAATCATATTGAATACTTCCCCTTTTCCCTATATTCGCTTTTGAAGATCAAATTGGTCGAATGTCTAACTGTTATTGAAGAATAGTCTCTCCCTACCAGTTGCCCTCCCGGATATATTACTGCCTCCCTGTCAACAATTACGATAGATCGTGGTAGATAGCCTACAGCATACAGGTGTAACGACAAAAGCTGCTTATCTATAAAACAATGACATGGCATGGTGACACAATTAATCAAATCTTATCAATGTAAATAAAAACTGTTTAGAACCAGTTTAATCTATCACGACCATAATATTGCCTAAAATGTACATTGAAAAAATGCAGTACTCCATGCAGTCCGTCATCCATATTTGCACATCTTCCAAAGCAATTAAACAAAACAATTTGAAATAATCCGTGTACTTCATGGTCACTTATGTATCACTTAAATCAGAGCTCTATTTTGAGTTAAATTATTGTCAAAGGGATTTAGTTACCGTTAATAACAATCTGAATTGTTGAACATTTGTTTTATTGCTTTTCCAGTGTTTTGCATTACCATGTGAATACACACCAAAAGATTTCAGCTTCGTTCGACAGAATGCAATTACCATGTGTAAAACTTCAAAAGCATGCCAAATTACTTCGAAGTCCAAAATGAGACTGTATTTCTAAACATCTGTGGTTTTACATAACAAGATAAGACATTGAGTAATTATTTAGGAAAAATATACAGTCATTCTGGACAGAATGAACGGGTAAGTCGTGCTCTTTAATACTTTCATAAGTCGTAACTTAATGTATAGAAAACGTATCTAGATGTAATGAATACATAAACCAAGTACTAACAGCCTGAACAGTAAAACAAAACCCGAAATCCAAAGCAACATTTTGGCAAATCATTGGTAGCAGCTAATTCACTTTTCACATGAGGAAGTATGTCAAACATAAGTGAGTTCAGTATTCCATTAGGAAGAGTGGTATCAGGTGTTTAGAAGAGAAAGAAAAATCTGCCTGGCACCATACCCGTCTTAGAAGCACAACATACACAAACTACAAATAGGAACACACCAACAAAGGAAGTACAAGTAGCTACTTGAAGAATGTACAAAGTTCCAGGGACAGCTAACGAAAATAAATTTATCAGATTTCAATAGTCAAGGGAAGTAATAGAGTTTCACAACAGTGTTTCTGTTCTTTGAATTTGTAATGGGGACACTTACTATTTGCATCATTCCAATGCCCCGTCGGACTCCACTATCGCAAAGATGTAGACTAGCTTAGTTATTGCAACAGTGATATCGGATCGGTTTTGTCTTGGATTTCAGGAACCGGATACGTTTCACAGAAAGACGGAGCGCACATATGCTCTTATCTGAATGTTACAAGTCTTTCTTACTAAAACAGGTCACAAAAGGTGAAAATCCGCAAAAGGGGGCGGGCGCTTGGATGGGAGCACTCTCCATCAATGAAATACTCGCTACACCGCTGTACGTACGTAGTATCAAATTCTTCTTGGTACATCATTATTTTAAACCTAACAAGGATGCTTACCACTAATGCTTTTAGTATGTGTGTGATTAGAGAGAGAGGGGAGGTAATATCTTATGAATCTCTAATTCCCTTATGCAGGTATTCCAGACTTCCTATTTTACATTTCCTCTTTTATAGATTGAGACAACGCTGTATTCCGTTACTGATTGCGTCCACTTTTTTGTTGGAAACACGGATGATTCCTGCAATTATTGCTCTCTGTCTCCATGCCGAAGCCTCTTCTCTGTTTCACGATAGAAATAGTTTCTGTGCATTGATATTACCATCTTACTTCTTTAATTTTTCGTTTCGAAATCATAAATTTCTCACGGTTTCCCACAAACTTGAAGCCTATTGCGATCATGCGTGATTTGATTTGCTATTAATATTTAATATTGCTATTAAATTGTTGTTTTAGATTTTTAATAGTGACTTCTGGATTGTTGGTAGCCGTTATTGGCCTGGACGTACCAATTACAAAACATTGGAATGGTGGATTTAAATCTGAATTCTGTGATCCTATTACTAAAGATCTAACGGTTTGGAGAGCTCATCTAATCTTCGATCAACACATTGACAACTTGAAGGTAGGTTAATGCTCTTTAGGTTTGTGATAAGAAATTGGTTTTAAAGAAAGTAAAAGACTATAAACTAATCTTGACAGCGGCATCAGTGTGCGTTAATTGAGAGATATTTGCAGCTGAAACATACGGGGGGCTGTAAGACAAAATATTTATCCATGTAACCGTTACTTAGAAGGGAAACAGGGTCGAAGATTGACATCAATGTCCAATGTGCCCAACTTGTTCGATCTGATTATGTTCTGTAAAAATGACAGATCTAATATAAACCACGAATGGAACTGAAAAAGTTAGTAACTTTTGAGAACAATTTTAAAATGTAAAGGTCATGTTGTAGGTTTTCAAAGCTGATTTACAACACGATTTAGGCGATGGAAAGAATTATATACTGGTTCCGTCAAAAGGACATTTTACTCAACATGTCGGTGATAAAGTATGTGTTAGTTTTATTGGATCAGTCACTGGGAAAGATGTAGTACCAAAAGTCACCTTTTTCATCGAAGGTATGGATGGTAATGGAGGTGTAACTCCCAAACCAGATGCTTCAGGTGAAAAACTATTTTCAATAAGCTCCTACATTTTCTTTCCCAAAACATTCAAACTTGAATATGTACTAATTTCATGGACTAAATACAATGTTCAATTCTGTGGTTTTTTAGGTGGATGGGGATATTCATTATTTTGATGTTTTGTAAGGGGACCATCTGCATGCACCACAGTCTGCAAAAGGCTGAGATTCAAACACCTTCTTCATGACCACTTTGGTCACCTATCTTCACAGGTAGTTAGGACTTTGGTATACCATCACTGTTCACTGTATTTCAAAGGATTTCCTTTCCTCCGAGATCTTGAAATTGTGTTATTTGTTGAGTTTTATATCATAGGGCACCATGTTCCAAGGCTCTTCGATAGTTTATGAAAATCTCTTTAAGCCCCAAATTATTTCGTTCTTCCATTTATTTACCCCAAACCCACAGAAAAGAGTCCTTTAAAGGTCAGTAACATATCTAGGCATTTTTGTGTCATCTTTTCTCATCTATCAGAAAACTCAGATCAGAAGGTGACCTCAACAGTTAAGTATTGTTATTGTAGGAATTTTATGGCATAAGAACGACTTTAGTTCCAGAGATCCTTTGGATGGGTTCTATAGTTTACCTAAAGGACATTTTGATGAAGATTCCTTATCCGTAGTGAAAGATCCAGCCGGAGGCAATGGTAATGTCATGAAGATTTTCATCGAAAAAGGCCACTACATCAAAATAAGGGGACACCGGGGAGCACAATTTTATACAAATCTTGTCTCCCCAATGGATTCGATGACATTGAGTTATGACGTCTATTTTGAAAAAGGTATGGACTTTGTCATCGGAGGTAAATTACCAGGTATGTATGGTGGAGCCACAAATTGTACTGGTGGACGTCACTCTGATGCCTGTTTGACTACCAGATTTATGTGGAGACAAGCTGGAGAAGGAGAACTTTATGCCTACATGCCACCCCCGGAAGATCAAGTTAAAAATTTCTGTGACAGCAATAATATTATTTGTGATCCAGTTTATGGTATATCTGTTGGCAATGGAACATGGTCCTTTAAGACTGGACGATGGGAAAACATCGCACAGCATATACATCTCAACAAACCCGGTCATAAAGACGGTTACGCTATCATCTGGTATAATGGAAAGAAGGTTTACGAAATTCACAACGTCAACTTCCGTAATCACGACAACATCAAAATGCAGGGACTTTTCTTCTCGGTTTTCTTTGGCGGTGGTCAACCGATATGGGCTCCTACTGGTGATTCAAATATCTACTTTAAGAACTTCATACTGTCTTCACACGAAAATGAGCCTCCACACTTAGTGGGTTAAATCCATGAATTTGGTTCACAAGTAATGATCTTTTTTTTTCAAATGATCATTGGTTAATTTTAGAATGATGAATAACTTCTTTAAGCAGCTTTTGAAATTTATAAATATCTAATATGAATCGGAGACCCAAAAATGGGATTTTTCTATGGAATAAAAAAAAAACTTGAAACCTGTTGAATTTATTTCATTGATCTTTGGGTTGTGTTGGTAAAGCGGTCATTGTTGTTTCTTAATACTACAATATACTGTGTGGCCATATGGACAGCCTGCAGCATGTGTTTTATAATTCATACCACAATTGCCACTTTTGATCCCTTTCTAAACATTTATAAAAGCAAACTAAACCAGATAAAGATTTTAAAGTTGAATACATTAGCAATTATTTCCATCTGTTCTATTTCCAAAGTTATCGAAACAATAATAAATGCAGAAACAACACGAGTCGTCATTTTAACATTCAAACGCGCATAATTATGGCTGCACATGAATTTGAAGGCTCAAATTTCGACGCTGAGCTGTGAACACTTTTACTGACTGGCTAACTAAAAAAAACATTCCCGTTTCTGAGACTAAAGTTTGATTGGTGATAAAGAATGGCGCACCAAACCCTTTAAGAGGTAGAAATCTAAAATGGCAGGCCACTGTCTTTATCAATTAAATCAGGTGCAGCTAACTAGGACGTACAACATTTCGTTTATAAATGTAAATTGTTGTAATTCTTTGTACTGATAGCTACCAAAAATAAATATCTAAAAAAGCAAACGGATTGCTGTGAATAAGTTAATTAACATGAATGGACTACTGACTTGCGGCAGATACGGTAGAATAGTGAACAGAACCAGAACAGCGAACATAATGACAGTTGAGACTTCCATGGTATTGGTAGTATTATTATATTGCCTCATAATATTATACATATATTATATCGGAACATTTAACAAATTGTTAAAGCTAAATTAGACATGAATATGTCTATGACCACAATAACATTTTATATAATGTATATTTTATGTATGGAATATCTGCACTTTTCTGTGGGGGCATTTGATGTGTCACATGCTATGAAAAGAAAACTATCCAACTACAATATCCTTGGTTAGCATTGAGAATTTTTTGCAGCCTTTGGTACTCCATACTACCCAAGACTCTGCCTGGTATCCAATCCAAGTTTCATTTTCGATATTTGGGATAATTGTTTGCATGCAAAATATGGTTTGGGGACACATACAAAACCAGAATCAAAACCACCGCTTTAGACTAAGTGGCAATCCCAGAATAACAAAAACGAATACCTTGTTTAAAAAACACGTCCTGAATTAAACCTTTTTAGTTGAGTTCCACCGCAGCCTTCGTATGTGCATAAATGGCACTTCTCTTCCCTTATTCTGTATAGGTTGTGATAGATCTGTAGGAGACAACCGAAATCCTTTATTTAAATGTTTTTTTAATCTCAGGCAAGGATTTCTGTCTCTTGTAATGAAACCATAACTGTCATATTTTGCTTTTTCATGCTGATTTAACTATGCAGCCTGAGATGAGGAAATTTTGCTTGTTGGTCTAGAAGATACTGTCAGTTTCGTAGTCGGATTTTGACCCCTGGTTTTCCCATTAAGTGTTTGATAATGAATAGTGTTGATTATCTTTGACTAATGTTTTTTTGGACCATTTCAAACTCTCAGAAGTTTGATATTTGTCAAAGTATATGACACATCTTCGTTAAGCAAGTATAAATTGATACCGACAAAATTTCATGAGACAATGATATTTCGATACATGCGGACAAACATACGTATATGTGAAAATGTGTTATTCGGAGAGAACAGTGGCGAGACACGGAAAAGCGGAACAATCAGTATAGAAAGAAAAGAACAAAAAGTATCGCTTAACAAGGCTGACTTATGTCGGATCAGCATTTGGACAGCCAATATATTGTGGTTTACGTTTATCAGAACATTGGTGAGTACTGCCAACACAGCTATACCTCCTTTTTCTTTACATTTATGGCAACAACCTGTAATAGTGTTTTTTTAAGCATATTTTCGTTCAACAGGATAATTAAGGGTCAGAAATAATGCTAGATGTCTTATGTGTGGATATCCACTGATAATGATCATTCAAGCAATCCACAACACATACATTATAATGAATAACAGCACTGGTTTTCATGTTGATGCCGAAACGATCAACATTGCTGACATATTCTTAAGATGCATAGATTCCAATAATACGTGTTTACTGACGTAATTTAGCTCAAAATTTTCGAATCATATTTCATTTTATTCTTAAATGGCCGAATACTTCACTATACAATAATAAAATATTTTCACCGTTAAAAAAGTGCTCATTACAACAAATGTAGAAATATAGAAATATTGAAACAGAACTTGAATCATGTTGTTACTCAGAGTTTCACGCTATGCGATCTTCAGACAACTCTACACTATATAATAAACCTATCCTCTAACTGAATATTTCCATGAATATTTTCATCAAATAACTAAATACTCAGCTTCAATAATAACAAGAATGATTTACTTGCTTGCTGCAGATGCCGTAAAACCAGGAGAGCCAACAAAATAATGGTCGAGACTTTCATTATAATGGTTAGAGTATTTCTGCATTACCTCGAATGACGATGGAGCTTTAGTTATTAAGAATTTTAAAGAAACATTCATCATATTGTCAAATTTGTCAGATATATTTGCTAAAATCTGCTCTTCTTGATTATTTCATTAAAGGCTCAGATAGCAGAAATGTCCCAAAGATACAAATTTATTTGGAATTTTACTATTGCAAAAAATAAGTATAAATCAAAATTATTCTTGAGTTACGACGATTTTTCTGCCATTGTTGTTCTGTTCTCATAATATTTTTTTAATTTTTCATCAATGAACTGATATCGCTGATATTAGTATAATATATTGCTACAAATCGAAGGTTATTATGATGATTGTGAGCATGTGTTGCTTTTTTCTTTCTATAAAGAACCGTAGCCGTTTGTGATAGTGATACTATATTTTGTGTGCCAGCCTTGTTCATATGAGAGAATACAACCCTTACTTCAACAAAATGTAATCGTAGTTGACACAGATGCAACTATTAACATACTTCTTAGAACTTCTTAGACAGACTACCGGGATCCAGGAACTTTTTTACGAACAATTTTATGTTTTTTTGACTGTTTTACAATGAAATAGATTGGTACGAATAAATGAATTATCTTAAAACAAATTCTGGCTCCATGAATAGTCGTTTTGAATATCAAAACGATTGATCAGCATTTCTGATAAAATTGAATCGTATATTTATTATTTGCCATTCGGATGAAATTTTCAAATTCTACCATCTAATAGAACAAATATAATCAAATGTTTACCATTAGAATATGTCTAGGATTTTTAAATACCAATACACTTTATAAATAGAATCAAAATTTAGAGAGCAACTCAGATTGAGACAAAAGAAGAATACAACATCTATCAGGATGAAAACTGGTTCTGTTGTTCTTTTAGCTCTCCTGGTGTATAATCAGAGGCTGCTGGTGGGTATAACCATATTACATTATGTTTTCTATTATGTAAAAGTCAGTTTAGTCTAAAATTTCAAATGCAATTCACTACTTGCTGTTGGACTAATGTTCATCAAAATGGTTTTTTGAAGTACAAGATATCCCTATATTGACCAATTTCGACCAAGGAGCAATTCTGCAAAGTGTGTATGAAGATAACAGCTTTGAAATCTTGTACATGTTGGGTGTACCAAATATTGTCGTTGCAACTTGGCGTTAAACTGTTTTTAGCCTGTGATAGTGTGAACCTGATTTTCGAAAGTAGATTGACATAGCACAATAATCGCAAACTATGCTTGTCGTTTTCATTGCAGCAAAAGGAACACAGCAAAACCCGGTTCAAATTCAGTTCAATTTATTCTAATAATGCTATTTCGCTTCATTTCCAAATTGCTGCTACCATTGTAGAAGCAATAAATGTGTCAATAATCATGTAAAACGTCCATCAAAAACTGGACCAAATTATACATCATGTGCCTTTGGTAGCGATGTATATTGTTGTGTACCTAAAAATGGTTAATCACCTGATTTTCTGTCTGACTAATGTATTCTGGAATAAATTTTATTGTGCCACGATTCTTCTGCAGCACTTCTGATTCTGCAGCACTTCTAAATCTGTAGTATTTACAATTTTAGTGTCCAGATTGTTACACGATATAAATGAGCCGCCATTAGTCTCAAATGTAGTCATATGCCACTAATTTTGTGGTTCTTTTGGTTCTTAAGCGTTTGCATAAAGGGAATCTTTCCGAATCCCAAAATAGTCCAACCGACGAAACAAAGTTCTTTCAGCAATTTATATATTTTTTTCTCTAACCTATTCTATTCATGAAATTTTTATCAAATCCAATCTTTCAAGTGGATGGGTGAAAACAAAATAATTAGAACAAACACGTAAAATAAATGGACAACCGTGTAGCGACGCAAATGTAACATGTGTTTAAAGCATTAACCCCGAACGACCACATTATAGACACCAGGAGTTATGAGTTACAAGTGAGCGTAAAATTTGAAATAATAATAATTGTCCTACAGTTTGTTGAAGTTAAAGATACTTCTACAGTTAATATTTGAAGATGAAATGATCGAGTATTTTACAAAATCTGATGTCAAGTGTTCGTCATAAGCTTCCCCATCAACAATAATGTATCCAAGGCTAATCGGCAGGTAATGAATGGACTAAGGGATTCAACAAAGTAAATCAAAATAGAGTAGAAGTGTAAGATGTTAATAAACGATACCGCATTGAGCGAACTATATTAAATATCCCCATCGTTTGAAATTATGGTCACTTATGCAATTATACATCAAATGCATTTATTGGACTAATTTGTGAACAACACAGCAAGGGCTAAAAATTTATTTTGAAACTTCAGTAAAATTTGTGTAAAGTCTTATGACACACCAAGAAATAATGTGTTGATTGTTTGTG